ATGATTAAAAAATCTGTAGCATGATTACTGCTGTAAAAGTGCAGACACCATGTTATGCATGCAAGTTCGTTCATAGAGCTGCTCACATGGAAAAAAAGTTGAATTGTTACAAAGTCTAGGTTGATCACAGAATATTGCCACAGAACATAAAATATACTGGAGGTGTCCTTTGGTACCCCTCGGCCTCCTACTTAATACATGTATTGTATCACTTTGTTCTTGAGTCATCAGATTCGCAAGATTTTCAGAAAATTTGACCTCACTTGACCCTGAGGCTGAGGTTGTTAAGATTCGAAAACGCCCAAGATTTGTAGTTGATACAATTGTGACAACAATTTGAAAGCCCTTTGTCGCTTTGTTCTAGAGTTATTGCATTCACAAACTTTGGTGTCCACGTTGTGCACTTGCCATCAGCCTTTTACAGTTGAGGGCTAATAAAATTTATGGTGCACAAGGTATCTAAAAAACAAAAATAAAACTGGTGTTCTCGAAAGCCATGCAAAGGGTCATCAGAGGGCATTAATCAAACGGCCATCTGTTTTGTTTTTAGTTCATGGAATGGCAACCTGTACATAAACCACCAGGTGTATCAGTTCAGGTCCTTTTGTCCATTCACCAAATCCATCGCTGTGATAACTGTAAACCCAGGAAATGATAACTAAACTGTCCGCTTACTGATGTAATGACCAGTCAAAATCACCTTGTTAGGCTAATGTGAAACCTAAAACCCCCAGACTGCTTCTCCCAAGGATATAATTAAGAGTGCACATCCACACACACACATGCACACTTGCTGTCTCTGGCACCCGCTGGGTTAATACTTAAGAACATGCTTAAAGCCGCAAAAAAGACAATTAGACACATCTGCAAGCCATTAGGTCTAATCACATAGCGCAGCACAGGCAGAATAACGCAGGCTGCGATTTGGCCTCTATTTCATTTAAACATGTAGTCAGGACTAAATATTAGACGCACAGCTCACTGCTACTTTCCTCATAATAAGAATAATCACAGCACAAAAAAAAAAGGTCTCCAACAAAACCTTATTGCCGAGAGTTTCTACTATACACCGCTGATGGAACAATAGACCCGGCATTGTCATACAACTGTAGTTCATCTGTTCCCCCCTTACACACTTCCTCCTGTGCAGTGAGGAACAAAAAAAAAGGATTAGAAGGGATAAGTGTGATTGTCTGGCCTATGAATAAACTTGACTGTTTCACAGACAATGAAGGTGACACACAGTAGCTCACACGCTTTTAGGGTAACAGTTCGATTTATTTTTTATTTTTCTTGTCAAGTCGTCTCCACAGTAACCTCTACCTGTTTGGTTTAATTGTACTAACAAAGCGTTCAGAAGTGAAACTGTCCTCAGTGAGAGCTTTCAGGATCATTGTCCTAATCTCACTGTCAACAGAGGCAAAGCAAGAACAACCCATTCAAAAAAAACACCGCCCTGTAATAGTCTTGTGTGATTTTATATAGCAGACTTGGTATTACACATGTATATTTACTAACCCGCTTTAATGTGCCAGTCTATACGGTTTTTCCATCTTTAACACGCTTACGAGGAAAACAAACGTTGATCCACTGATGTCACTGAGATACTGCTTAAAAAACAAAAAAATCAAGCTGTGTTCATTTTCCTTCAAAGCTGAATCAAATGATCGCTTTTATACTTATATTATACTCTTGCGCCTTTGACTTGTCTGTAACGTCAGACTCCCAAAATGTGGAAAAAACTAAGACTTTCAGCTCCCTTTACTTAGTACCAAGTTGTCAGATTGCAGCTACCTTTAAATTGGCTCA